TAATATTACTAATGACTATCGGTATGAAGCATGGAACTGAGGTGACATTGTGAACAAAGTGATCCTAAGGCAAGCTGCTCTAAGCCCTCTGTCACGCCGCATAAGGGCTGCTGGAGGGCGCCTCGGCTGGGCTCTTTAGCCCGCTCTTTAGCCAGCTAGGGAAGGAGACGTCCAAAATGACCGAGACATCTCCTTCCTGGGGGAGTTAGGAGAAAACTTCACTTCTCCAAGCTCTTGTGGCAAGGCCTGACGGCTGCCAGGGACACCCACAGACATCCAGGGGCTGAACTGTCTCTATGTGACGCTGGGCTTCAGTGGTCACATTCCATGTCCACTCTCATGCCCTGCTTCTGCACCTGGTTTCCCTTTTTTTTTTTTTCAGATTGAGTTTCGCTGTTGTTACCCAGGCTGGAGTGCAATGGCACGATCTCAGCTCACCGCAACCTCCGCCTCCTGGGTTCAAGCGATTCTCCTGCCTTAGCCTCCCGAGTAGCTGGGATTACAGGTGCCACCATGCCCAGCTAATTTTTGTATTTTTAGTAGAGACGGGGTTTCACCACCTTGTTGACCAGGATGGTCTCGATCTCTTGACCTCATGATCCACCCGCCTTGGCCTCCCAAAGTGCTGGGATTATAGGTGTGAGCCACCATGCCCGGCCTTCTCTTATTCTTAAAAGATTAGAATAATAGTAACAATCTCAGTGTCCTTGACATTTCTGACAAATATGCAAAGAGCGCTGACTCATTGGGTTTTCTCCTCGCCTCAGCTACTTGCAAGTCCCAGGCCCCCTGTATTCAAGACACGTGACTTACCTGACCCTATCACTGACCACCATTACCTCACCCCACCTGCCCTTCCCCCTGCTGTGTACTCAATAAAAGTCAGAGTGTCCCAGCACTCAGGGCCACTGCAGGTCTCTGTGCCTGGCTTGGCAGTGGACCCCTAGGCCCAAACTCTCTTTTCTCTGTGTCTGTGTCTTTTATTTCTACAGTTTCTTGTCTCTGTACCAGCAGGGAGGGGCTCATAGAACCCTATAGGGCTGGACCCTGTAATTATAAGGCATGAGCCACTGTGCCCAGCCTATTTCGTTTTTTGTTTTTTTGTTTTTAGAGACAGGGTCTTGCTATGTTGCCCAGGCTGGCCTGGAACTTCAGGGCTCAAGAAATCTTCCTATTCAGCCTCCTGAAAAGCTGGAGCTACAGGCATGCACCACTGCTCCCAGCTTGAACGAATTCTTCTTGCTTAATTTTAATTTCTGTCACCAAAAACACTGTGACTGATACAGAGTCAACTACAATTTTATTACTTTTTTCATTATATCTGATCACATATAACATCATAAACACACTGGTGAAGAAGAGTTGTAATCAGAGTACCACTCTTTTTTGGTGCTGTGACTCGGATCAGGGTACCACTCTAACTGAAGCTTTGAAATTACCAATAAGCCACCTGCAATCCCTTGGTGAAGAGAAAAGAAGAAGTTGGACATCTTGATTTTCTCACCAGATATTCAGAGGTCATCCACCTGGCTGGCTCCCTCTTAAGAGTGTGACACTTTTTTTTTTTTTTTTTTTTGAGATGCAGTTTTGCTTTTGTTGCCCTGGCTAGAGCACAAATGCACGATCTCTGCTAACTGCAACCTCCGCCAGGTTCAAGTGATTCTCCTGCCTCAGCCTCCTGAGTAGCTGGGATTACAAGCATGCACCACCAGGCCTGGCAAATTTTGTATTTTTGGTAGAGACAGCGTTTTTCCATGTTGGTCAAGCTGGTCTCAAACTCCTGACCTCAGGTGATCCACCCACCTTGGCCTCCCAAAGTGCTTACAGGCAAGAGCCACTGCCCACAGCCAGAGTGTGGTACCCTTACAGTAGCCTGTGGGCTGGGCGCAGTGGTTCACGCCTGTAATCCCAGCACTTTGGGAGGCCAAGGCAGGCGGATCACCTGAGGTCGGGAGTTCTAGACCAGCCTGACAAACATGGAAAAACCTTGTCTCTACTAAAAGTACAAAATTAGCTGGGCATGGTGGTGCATGCCTATAATCGCAGCTACTCAGGAGGCTGAGGCAGGAGAATCACCTGAACTCGGGCGGTAGAGGTCATGGTGAGCCAGGATCACACCACTGCACTCCAGCCTGGGCAACAAAAGTGAAAAACTCTGTCTCAAAAAAAAAAAAAGTGGGCCATGAAGACTTTTGCCCAAGACCTTGCAAAGGTCTCCCCAGGAGGCAGCTATTCACGCCTAGCAGACAACACTCTAGTGTGGACATCTCAGTGCACTTAGCAAAGCCGATCTCTGAAGCCTCTTGTACATCGGGCCAGCAATGGCCCTTGCACTGGCAAGCATCTTGCTCCAGCTCCTCAGTGATCACAATAAAGTGATGAACACGGAGTAGCCAGCACAATGATTATTTCCTATCAGAGGTGGGTGGTGCATTAGGCAACACCAGGCAGAAAAGCCCAGCAATGTGTCAGCAGTTTCTGAGCAAACTCAGGAAGTGATAGTGGTTCTCCAACTTGAGCATACATCAGAATTGCAGATAGTGGTGGTGAAGGGGGTGGGGAATGAGGGTGGGGTTGGGAAGACTTGTCAAGGCACACACTGCTGAGCGTACCCCTAGAGTTTCTGATTCAGCGGGTCAGAGTGGGGCCCCAGAAGCTGTATTCCTCACAAGTTCTCAGGTGCTGCTGGTGCTGCTGGTCTGGGGCCTATACATTAAAAATCCCTGTTAGAAGAGTGCTGAATTGGATAAAGACCCCTCAAAGGAGAAATTATCCAGGTTTTTCCACTCCCCTGAAGCCCTCCCCTCAACAAAGATACCCTGCCATCTCCACGTGGGTTCTGAAGCCTCAGACAAGTACCAGAGTGAAATGTACATCTATGTAAAAGATGAGACACAATACTAACTTCTTGCCTGTGGGCATAGAGCCAGAGATGTCACAGCACGCCTGCATCTCTATCACATTGCCACAGCAGTCCCTAGATGCAATGACTCCTGTATTAGAGACAGAAATGGAGGTACCAGGCAGCCATCGCTGTTGTCTACAAAGTCACACGTGGAAGGCAATTTTTTTTGGTTATGAGAATTGTCAAATGCACATAAAGGTGAAATTAATAAATCCCCAAATGTCTCAACCGTCGTGGACTCGGGCAATGACAGGGGTTCTCAAATTTGAGCTTGCATCAGAATCACCTGAGAGGCTTGCCAAAACAGAGACTGCATGGGTATCATCCACACACAAGAATTACGAAGACTGTGCCACATTGAAAACTCTTCTGATGACAAGACAGCACTGGCAGGGAATCAACTTGCAAAGGTAGTTTCATGTTTCTTTCTGCTTTATTCTTGAGGCAGGGTCTTGCTCTGCCACCCAGGCTGGAGTACAGTGTTGTGATCACAACTCACTGCAGCCTCAACTTCCTGGGCTCAGTTGATCCTCCCACCTCAGCCTCCTGAGAAGCTGGACTACAGGCATGTGCCACCATGCCTGGTTAATTTTGTAACAAAAACCATGGTTTTTGTTGAGATGGGGTTTTGCATGGTGCACACTGCGTCAAACTCCTGAGCATGACTTTGGCATCACAGACATGAGCCATGGCGGCCAGCCAGATTTTTTTATGTTATCTCTAAACGAGTAAATCTAAATATTGCCACAGGGACGCTGCTCGAAAGGCAGATTGATAGCATACCTCCTTCTGGCAGTCCTGTTTGGGCGGGTTCATTTTTATGTTTTTTTCTTTAAGACATAGGGTCTTACTCGGTCACCCAGATAAGAGTACAGTGACAAGATCATAGCTCGCTGCAGCCTGGAGCCCCTGTCCTCCAGCAAGCCTCCTCCCTTAACTTCCCAAAGTGCTGGGATTACAGTCCTGAGCCACCATGCCTGGTTTCATTTTAAAAGCCACCCAGAAGGGATACAAAACAGAGTATCACGTTGACAGCTTTCTTTTTTTTTTTTTTTTTTTAAATTGAGACAAGGTCTTGCTCGGTGGCCCAGGCTGGAGTGCAATGCTGTGGTCATGGCTCACTGCAGCCTCAACCTCCTGGGCTCAGAGGCTCCTCCCACCTCAGCCTCCCAAACAAGCCTGTGCCCCTGCACGCAGCTAATTTATTTTTGTTTTTTTGTAGAAATGGGGTCTGGCCATGTTGCCCAGGCTGACAGCTTCTAATAGAAGCAAACATATGCTCCTCCCATGACCAGTAAGTTCACTCGCAGATATTTATCCCAGAGAAATGAGAGTTTGTATTCCTAACTTGTACCAGAATAGTCACCATGGCCACGAAAGAAATGAGGGAGGAGCGGGGAAGGAGGGACTGGTGAAGGAGGGAGGCAGGGGGGAAGGGGGAAGGAGAGGGGGAGGAAGGAAGAAGGGAGGGAGGGAAGGAAGAAGAAGGGAGGAAAGGAGGGAGGAAGGAAGGAAGAAAGGAAGTTCATTTCATCAACCGGGTAAACTTTTTAAAAATATGCTATCTGCACAGTGGAGAACTACTCAGCAGTAAAAGGGAAGGAACTGATAGGAACGACTTGAATTCCCAACAGGATGGATCTTCCAGTGTTTATGTTGAATGACAATATTCTGTATTACTTCAGGTTTAGGAAGTCCAAGAACAGGCTAACCCAACCTCCGGTGACAGAAAGCAAAATCCACTGCAGGGGTTGGCTGAGGCTGGGTGGGGAGGGGTGTTGGGAATGGGGACAGGGAAGGAGGGGAGGTCAGGACGGCCCCCCACGGAGCTTACTGGGGGTGATGGGCACGTTCTATTTGCTGCTCAGGGCGACGGTTACGCAGGTGTGCACATACATAAAAATTAGTGGCGCTGAACACGTAAGGTCTGGGCATCGCACTGTGTGTAAGTTAAACTTCGGTGAAGTGCTCTCAGCACACATCCGCAGCCGCACCCACACAAAATCCCAGGAGGCTCAGTACCAGCTGCGGTCCGGGCCTTGCCCACTTCGGGGAGGCCACGACCCAGGGCATCCGGTTTCCTCTCGCTCCAGTCCAACTTCCGCGCCTCTAGGCGGGCCGGGACTGCCGCTACCTTTCTGGAAGGCGCCGGCCGGCCCCGCTGAACCCCGCCACAGGCGGCTCCCGCTGCGTCTCCGCTGCCGGGCAGGGACGGGGCGCCCCGCCCTCACCAGCGCCCGCCCCCGCCCGCCCCCCGGCCCGCCCTCCGCATCTGGCCCCTGGGCCGCGGCCCCGGGAGGCGGCCAGCGAGCTGGGGCCGCGCGATGTCGCACGGAGCTGGGCTCATCCGCACCACGTGCAGCAGCGGCGGCGGCGCGCTCGGACCCGGGGCCGGTGCTGCCCAGCCCGGCGCGAGCCCCCTGGAGGGGCTGCTGGACCCCGGCTACCCCCGCACCCACGCGGCCCTGCTGAAAGTGGCGCAGATGGTAAGAGAGCGCGGGGCGGGGGGCGGAGGTCCCACGGGGCGTCCCGGGAGAGCAGGGCCGGGATCCAGCCGGAGCCCCGGGAGCGTCGCGCAGCGGGGCCGGGAACCGCGTGGCTGAAGTTCGCGGCGGGGCTTCCTCCGGGAAAGTTGCTGCCTCAGCCCCTGCGCCGGAGTTCGGTCTCCCGTGGACGCAGGGCACCGGGATCGCCAGTTTCTCCGGCCACCCCCCGCCCTCGCCCTGCGGGGCCTGACCCGCCTACTGCCCGAAACCACGGGCAAAAGTTCCTTTTCGTCTTTCCTCCTCTTCTCTGGGCCGCGCCGCTTCGAACCCGAGCCAGGGGTGGAAGATTCGCCCCAGGCGGCGGCGCTGAGACGGCAAAACCCGACTTCCTCCCCCTCCACGGCCTCCTCTTTCCTCCGAGCCCAGCGCGGCAGGACGTCCCTGCTCGGTGCGCAGTTTCGCTTGAGGGAGGAGGTCAGGGGGTCTCGCGTTCCAAGGTGGGAAAAGAACTGGGGCCCTCAAGCCGGCCGTCCTGGTCCCCTGCGCTCTCAAGTTCCAAGGGCAGGTGGTCAGTTGGGAAAGGCCTGTTCTCAGGGGCTGGTTCTCACATGGGGGAGCCAGTCTCTTGAATGGGAGTCGACCGTGCAGCCAGGCAGGATGAATGTCTGCACTTGGTTGTGACTAGCTCAGCACCAGGGCCTGCCTGCTACCAGGGCAGACGTTGCCTGGCCGATTCTCTTGTTGTCCACTCTTTTCTTTTCTCCCCTCCCGTTTTTTTCTTCTTTAAAAGTCTGTAATCTGAAACACCTTTTCCGTTTGTATGATGTGTTTTGGAACTGAGTTGGGCCGTTTGTGAGTCTCCACTTGTAATGTTTGCACCGAGAATGGTAGGGAGGGGAGCAGGAAGTTTCAAAAAGGGGTGTGGGGAAAGGAACGTGGGGCTGGCACAAGGTCACAGGCCCAGAAGCTGGGGACTGTCAAGGTGGACTGGCCCAGGGATTGGACACAGGGTCTCAGACGTCTGTGCATCTATGGCACTGCTATTCCACACACTGGGTGTGCACAAGGTGGCCCTCATGTCCTACTTGGGCCAGACCTAAAGAGAAGGGGCGCTGAGTTCCTGCCTCCCTAAGAACGCTATCTCGATGAAGCAAAAATTAGGAATAGAGGCATTTTAGCATCGTACCAAAAAATCTGGTGCTGAGCATTGTTGGGTTTGAGCAGGTCATTTTTTGGCCCAAGCTAAGAGATTTGATCACCCAAATAGAAGAGACCAGCCCATCTCACTGTCATTAAAAGATGCGCTGGGGTGAGACAGGCCCTACCTGAGCACTGGAAGGAATGACTTTGGTAGAGAATGGGATCAGAAGCCTCCATCTTGGCCTATGAGTTTATGGGATGAAAAGTCTCCTTGTTGGTCTATGAGTTTGGTACACAAACATAACGGAGATGAAACCTGGGCAACATAGCGAGACCCCATCTCTTAAAAAAAAAAAAAAAAACTGGTGTGGTGGTGTGGGCCTGTAGGCCCAGTTACTCGGGAGGATTCATTGAGCCAAGGAGGTCAGTGAACTGTGATCGCGCCACTGCACTACTGCCTGTGTGACAGAGGGAGATCCTGTCTCAAAAACAAAAACACACCAAAAAAGAATGGTAATAGAGATGAGAAGACTTTGTGCGGTCCATGAGTTTGATGAATAAAGATATTGTGAGATGAAAAATCTCCATCTCAGTTTTTGTTTGTTTTGAGACGGAGTCTTGCTCTGTCACCCAGGCTGAAGTGCAGTAGCGCAATCTCGGTTCGCAATCTCTGCCTCCGGGGTTCAAGTGATTCTCCTGCATCAGCCTCCCAAGTAGCTGGGATTACAGGCATAAGCCATCATGCCTAGCTAAATTTTTGTATTTTTGGTAGAGATGGGGTTTCACCATGTTGGCCAGGCTGGTCTTGAACTCCTGACCTCAGGTGATCCGCCAGCCTCGGTCTCCCAAAGTGCTAGGATTACAGGCATGAGCCACTGCACCTGGCCTCCAACTCATTTTCAGCTCCTCAGCTAGCCTCTGGCCTATGGCCCTTGTGCCAATTTGCAATTCACAAGAGTGGGGCCTGTGGTTCCAAAAAAGAGAACAAAGACTTGAAGAATTTCTTTATCTGGCTGCTGCTTCTCTGTATGCCCCTCTTACAACCATGCCGGGAGTCTCACACCTTCCCAGGAGGCTTCTCCATCACTGCTGCAGCCTTGTTTGATCAGACCCTCTGGGGCAAAGCTGCCCTGGCCGGATGGCTGTATTAGAGAAACTAGTTAGGGCTATCTACTGGGCCTTTGTCTAACTCCTCCCAGTTTTCCTCCTCCTCTCTTCTAAAGCTCTGCTTGGGCGTTTGAGATTCATCTCTCTTCTTTGCTGGAAAATGCTTGCTTAGCCAAGTTTTAACATTAGGAAAGGGCAGAAGCAGCTAAATTAATGCCACCCATTGGGCTCTATCTATGGGTCTGTCATTTTGACCATTGATGTTTCAGTTGCATACTGAACAGGCTGACCCCTTTGTCCTCAGCTTCTCATGAAATGTTTTCATTATGATCTGACCAGTAGATCTGCCAACATATCATCTTAAGAAATCATTAGGCTGTTCCACTGGAGAATGACTTCCCTTGTCTTGGGCCCTGTATTTTTTTTTTTTTTTTTTTTTTTTTATAAAGAAAGGGTTTCACTATGTTGCCCAGGCTGGTCTTGAATTCAGGGGTTCAAGGGATCTGTCCACCTTGGCCTCCCCAAGTGCTGGGATTACAGGTGTGAACCACTGCACCTGCATGAGACTTCTTTCAGTAGCGACATTTTTGAGACCTCTTACTGTTTTTGATCATGTTCTAGTAGTTATATACTATATACCATGTATGTGTCATCTCACTGCATGTTTCTAGGAAACCAGCGAAGTCACGTTTCATACGTAAGAAAACGGGCTAAAGAGGTAAAGAGACACTAAAGTCACACAGCTCTTAACAGTAGTGGCAGAACGGATCCAGGCCTTGTTAATAGTTCTAGGGAAATCAAAGCCACAGTGAGATAACACTTCACACCCACGGAGATGACAATAAAAAGGACAGAAAATGACAAGTGGTGCAGATAAGGCGGATGTGAAGAAATTGGAACACTGATGCCGTGCTGAGAATGCAGAACGCTGCAGCCGCCTTGGGAAACGGTGCCGTTTCAAAAGTTACCATGTGACCCAGCAATTCTACTCCCAATTCTACTCCCACATGAAGACTTACACATTCATATGTGTTCATAGCATCATTCATAATAGCCAGAAAGTGGAAACAATACAGCTGCCCATCAAGTGATGAATGTATAAACAGCAACGAAAACTGCATTCATACAACTGATTATTCAATCATAAAGAGGGAGCAGGAGGCACTGATGCATGAAATAATATTGATAACCCTGAAAACACTAAGCTGTGAAAAGAAAAGCCAATCACAAAAGCCCACGTGTTATATGATTCCATATATATGAAACGTCCAGAATAGGCAAATGTATAGACACAGAAAGTAGATTAGTGGTTGCCTAGGTCAGGGAGCAGGGCTTGAAAGGAAGTGGAAGTGACTGCTATAATATGTATGGGGTTTCTTTTGGGGGTGATGAAAATGTTCAAAAATTGGTGATGACGCTGGGCGCAGTAGCTCATGACTGTAATCCCAGCACTTTGGGAAGCTGAGGTGGGTGGATCACCTGAGGTCAGGACCTCGGGACCAGCCTGACCAATATGGTGAAACCCTGTCTCTAATAAAAGCTACACAAAATTAGCTGGGCATGGTGGCGGGTGCCTGTAATCCCAGCTATTGGGGAGGCTGAAGGAGGAGAACTGCTTGAATCTGGGAAGCAGAGGTTGCCATGAGCTGAGACTGCACCACTATACTCTAACCTGGGTGACAGAGCGAGACTGCGAGACTCACACACACACACACAAATTGGTGATGGTGATAGTTGCACAACTCTGAATATATTAAAACCCACTGAGTTTGATACTTTAAATGAGTGAACTGAATGGTATGTAATTATGTAAATAGATCTAGGGAGGAGTGTGAGGGGCAGTGTGCTCTGCATGCACCACTGGGCGTGGGGAGGCCACAGCTACACTGCAGGAAATCTCTGTGGCTTTCCTACTGCACCCACTCCTAGAAGAAGGGGTGTCCACTGCAGAGTCACAGAAGCTGGGCTGAAGGGCATCCCCTGAGTGCCTGAAGAGTCTGAGCTAAAAGGGATGCCCTGGGGTCTGAGGGGGCTAGATATCCTTGCTTCGGGAGTAAGGAGACCCCAGGATGGGGCTTGTGGCCCTACCAACACTCCCTTCTATTTGTTCATTCAACAGACCTTTATAACTGCCACACTCATCTCCATTTGTGCAGAAGCAGATGACTGTGACCAAGTTCTTGGCCCTCAAGAAATCTGTGGTTGTGGGGGGCGGTGACATTCAGACAGTCATTCGGGGCGACAGACTTTCCATCCCAGAACCATGGCCCAATTTATCCGTAACCTTATGGAGAAGACCCCGGCGCTGGTGAACACTGCTGTGACTTATTCGAAGCCTCAGTTGGCCACAACATTTTGGTACTACGCCAAGGTTGAGCTGATTCCTCCCACCCCTGCTGAGATCCCTAGAGCTAGCTATTCAGAGCCTGAAAGAAATAGTCAATAGTGCTCAGACTGGTAGCTTCAAACAACTCAGAGTTAAGGAAGCTGTGCTGAATGGTTTGGTGGCCACTGAGGTGTTGATGTGGTTTTATGTGGGAGAGATCACAGGCAAGCGTGGCATCATTGGCTATGATGTTTGAAGACCAATCTTGAACATCTGGTTATATTCGATTTATTATTTGAGCGCTGTTGGACCACATGTGATCAGACTGCTATCTGAATAAAATAAGATGTGTTAAAAAAAAAAGAGAAATCTGTGGTTCAGCTTGTCATGGGAAGAGGGTCTTGTACCAGACCCTAAGAGCTGGTTC